AAGGAGAGGCAGAAAAGGAGGCTTTATTAATTGAACCTCAAGAGGAACAAATGGAGATTGGAAAAGAAGAAGGCGCAGTAGGTGGACAGGTGGATATTAAAGATCAGCGTGAATTAAGGCCCACGAGAGTGGTTAAATCTAAATATAAAATATAACCATGGAAGAGAAAAAACTGATTACAATGAATATAAATGGACTGAATTCAGCTGCTAAGAGAAGGAAGACTTTCCATAAATTAAGCAAACTAAAGTTTGATATAATCTGTCTACAAGAAGTACATATTAAAAAGCAACATGAACAATTGTTAGTACAACCAAAATTAGGGAAATTGTTTTCCTCTTTGACTCAATGTAAGAAAAGAGGGGTGGTCTTATATATCAAAGAGGCTGGTATAAGGGAACCAAAACACAGGGGTATTTTAGAAGACATTTTATACGGGAGTCTCTGTGGTTAAATTGGGAGAAGACAAAAAAACAATGTTATTTGAAAATTCCAGTTTGGTTATCGACGATAGAAGCGTTTTCTTACCCTATAATTTATAAAAAGGAACAAACAGTTAGCTATGGGGAATTATTAGATGAAAAGGGTGAACTTAAATCGATACAAAAATTAGAGGAACAAGGTATACAGATGAATTGGTTTTCATATTTGCAAATACATGCAAAGTATCATGAGGATTCCAAAACAGAGGGATTTTATGATAAACAAACTGATCTAGATAAGATTTTGATGGTTACTGATGAAAAGGTGATTAAAAAATTATATGGTTACTTATTGGAAATTAAGCTGGAGGAAGAACAAGTTAAGGAAACTATGATTGCTTGGGGGAGGAATTTTGGATATGGGATTGATTTAGAGAAATGGCAGAATTTATGGTTGCAAAATTATAAAATGACAATGTCTACAGCCTATAAAGAAAATTTGTATAAGATGTTTTACAGGTGGCATTTTCCTCTGACAAGGATAGCAAGAATGTTCAAGAACAAATCCGAAAAATGCTGGAAATGTCATCAGAAACCTGGTTCATACTACCATATGTGGTGGACTTGTGAGGACGCTAGAAAATATTGGACTAAAATCCACATGTGGCTGGAAAAAATGACAAAGAAGCACATAGACTTGAAACCGGAGTTTTTTTTATTGGGAATCTTACCAGATGTTTATAGCAAAGAGTTGAAATATTTGATTGTAAATGTATTGACTGCGGCTAGGATTGTATTTGCAAAGAATTGGAAAAATGAGAAAATTCCATTACAGGAAGAAGTTATAAAGAAAATATTGGAATGTGCTGAGATGAGTAGATTGACTTTTGAAATCAGAGAGCAAGAAGATAAAAATTTTTATATAATTTGGGATCTTTTCTACCAATGGCTGAATGATGAAATACAAAAATAGAATATTTGAAATGCTAGATAATAAGGAATAATATTGAATTTATTTTTCTTTTCTCATTTTTGGTATTGGATATTATATTTATACAATGGTTTTCTTTTTCTTTTTTTTTTCTTTTACTTTAGGATAGAACTGGCATGATTATATGATTCGTTTTAGAATAAATTACTTAAAATATAGTTATCTCACAAAGGCATGATCGAACAAAAGTGTAGTCAAACTTCTTTTTTTTTAATAATGATATGATGATTTATAAGTTTGTATTGACAATAAGAGCTATTATATAAGGTAATTGTAATTGTGACTATGAAGTGAACGCACAAAACTGATGAACCAACCGACTCACTGTTTGTATATAAATATGGGGGAGCTGATGTTTTTATGTTTTGTCTGTTTGTTTGTATGTTAAAAAACAATAAAAACTTTTATAAAAAAAAAATAGTTGAAATCCAAACCTATTATATCTATTTGTTGGCCTATTCATCTATATATGTATGTATATTACCACAGAAATCAAACTTTGATTTGAGCTTGTAAGTTCAATGTAAATGACATTTTATACCTACTCACCACTTCCATGTGAGGAAATAATAAGAACGTTTTCCTGTTCCAAAATTCAACAACCTGCTATCTTAATTATGATTTGTCAGGTCAGATATCAGACCAACGACATCATAATTCATGACCATCAAATCTAGCACATACAATGGTTTTGACAGTTACAATCATTATATTAGTATAAGCCATAGTTCAAGTTCTGCAATTACAGTTTGGAAGTACATTTGAAACAAGCAATTGTCATTCTCTATTTTTAATTAATAAAGACAAATTTGCAAGAAAGGCCAAACTTGTCTTCACAAAAACAGGGAGAAACACTACTTTCAGTTACCAGGATAACTGATAGGATTCCACAAAATTCTGCTTTGACTCAAATGCTGCCCACTAACTGATTTATTGTAATATCAGAAAAGTATGAAATTCAGAGAAGCTAATTTGTCATAGGAAAATATCCTCAAATCAGTTACTCAGATATAGTTGTCCCTTTTCTCCCTCCCTCCCAGTTCAAAGGGAATTCCTTCAGAAATAGTGATTTGGAATTGGAAGCCTAAGTGCATCATATTTTAACAAATTGTTAAAAGCACACATAATTTGGCTAGTTTCTTATTCCTTGTCTGAAAAAAGAAGTGTGAAGGAGAAGGCATTGAGGCCATTAAATTTGGTCTAATTTTTGAGCTAACGGGCAGAAAGGCACCTTCTTGCCAACTATACATGAGTGTAATTAACAACTATACATGAGTGTAATTAACCCATCTTCTAAATGGGCCAGGTTCATGTAAATCATCTTGCCAAGAGTACCTCACAATCTGTTATGGAGGATTTAAAAAAGTGGAAGAAAAACTGCACTGCAGAAAAGGCGATAGAGGTGGAAGAAGAAAACAAATAGCAGCAGAAGCAATGGGGGCTTAAGCAAGTTCATAACAACAGAATGAAATAGCAGGTGGGTGACTAGCAGGCAAGAGATTAATAGAAAATGATGAAGCGTCAGATAATGCAAAGCACATGACAATAAAAATGCATAAATAGGCATAAATAAACAACTTAACTGTGTTAAGGATTAAAACAACTGTTACCGGTTTGCCAAGTAGGCACAGGGGCTAATTATTTTCAGGAACCTTGTGTCTCTTATGGTTTCTGACTGTCCTGTTAGAATTTAGAGTTAGGTCTCTGTTGCATTTGAAGATTAAGCAATTTCATCTACCAAGGCCTTGTCGGTTGCCTCACCTGCTGCTTGAACAGCATGCCCTCAAAAATTTGCACAACACCCACCTTACCAGCTTTTAAAAGAACCTTTAAATATGACTTTTTGTCCCCTAGCCTAGACCTTAGGTTAGAATGCTTGGGGTGAGTTTCTACTTCTGTTCGGGGAAGCAGATGTCAGTATCTTCTGGGGTTGATTTTGATTTTATTGGTTCTTTATGCTAAAGCCATGCAGAAACACTGGATTTGGATGGCCTAGAACAGGGGTGGGCAAACTACGGCCCGGGGGCCACATCCGGCCCGTTGGTCTTTTTAATCCAGCCCGCCCAAGATTGGTACAGAATTAAGGTTTGATGTGAATGATTGAATGATTGCATTCATTTGATTTTGACTTGTAATGACAGGCATTTCGACACCAGGTGGCGGCCTGTCTGTCAAATTTTAAAAGTCAATGAGGCCCCCAAGCCAAAAAGTTTGCCCACCCCTGGCCTAGAAATTGGATTATAAATACATGAATAAAAACTAAGGAGAAAACAAGCAGATATCTGTTATATGTACTTAAGGCAGATACCATAAATCTAGATAGTGGAAATGCAATTTATATACACACATACACAAACACTTTATTTTAACTTGCATTTAACTGCATTTCATACACATACACACACGCACACATATACATGCATATGCAGGTTAAATGCAGGTTAATATATACATATACATATACATATGCATACATACATACATACATACGTGCGGTTAGAGGAAGAGGACTCGGAAGATGAGGAGGAGGAACTGGGAATGCCTTTCTCCCCAGGACCTTCCTCTCTGGCAATGCCTTCCTCCCTGATAGTGCCTCAGGTTTCATCAGACAACCGAGAGGAACAGCCTGAGATTAATCAGGAGGAAGGCATATCGGAGCAGCCCCTGACAGGGAGTCAAGAGGAAGAATGTTGGCTTCATCCTAGGCAGTGTCATAGGGAGAAACATGAACAGCAACATAGGAGGCGTGGGAGGGTCAGAGAGTGAGCTGAGTCATTGAACCACACCCCACAGGGGATAAAAGTGGGTGTGTTGTCAGCTGGAACTTTGTATGGGACAAAGTTTGATCTTACTTCAGGTTTTCTTTGTGAATGATTTTTGTGGTCTGCCTTGTAATTTTCTGTAAGTAGCTTTTTACTTGTTATCAGTTCGGACTTGGCAGGCAGAGGATGTTGGAATGCCAAGGACGTTATCAGTTCCAAAGAATTAACTTTGTGAAGTTCGAGCCAGCCTGCCTGCGTTTGTGTGAGTTTGTACTCTTTCATCTTTTGGAAAGAAGAAAGGTGAGACAGAACATACACACACACACACATATGCACACTCATATACATACACACACTTTATTTTAACCATAAACCTAGATAGTGGAAATATATATGCTTAAATTTTAACCTGTATTTCCACTATCTAGGTTTATGGTACCAGCCATGTGTGTGTGTGTGTGTGTGTGTGTGTGTGTGTGTGTTATAAAATAGCTGCAAATATGTTCAAAAACTATTTCTAAAGTTATTGGTTGCATACTTTGTGCAGGTCTTTCTAAAGAGAAGTGCTATAGAAATTACAATAATAAAATAAGTAATTTAACATCATGAGACAGATCAAGTAACCAGAGAAGAATTGAATATTGATATAAACTCACTCTAAATTTTATCTGCAAGTTTTAGTTTCTAAAGCAGGTCCTGCAGAAGTGTTGTGCAAAATCTTGATTTTAAAACACTTTCCTGCTTTCCCTATATTCTCATCTAGGCAAGTATGTTTGTTTAAATACTAATTATCCTTAAAATGTTTTCCAACTGAAGAACACTCACCAGATTTGGAATATAGCACCAATACATTATTTCGTGTTCTCAACAGCTTCTTGAAGTCCTTCTGATCACTAATTTTTTCTATCAGAGGTGATATCTTTGATGGTAACACACAAGCTGGAAAGATAGCCTGCAATGCCAAGATAAAAAGAAAAGTACAAGTAAATTTCAAAAGGAACTCTTATTATTATGACACAAATTCTTTAACCTTAGCCTCAGAAAAGGGCACATGCATCTGCTTTGGATTCCTTTGTAAATGAAGTCCTGAGGAAAATTGTATAGCATAGCAAAAATCCAGCTCTTCTGTTGGCTGAGTGCACAATAAATGAGAAATTCAGTTCAGCCAAACACAGTTGCAGTGTTTCACACAATATGTTATGCCCAACCAAATAAATGTTATTATGTCTTAATGTGAACCCAAGCACTAAGTTGTTTTTGCCCTCTCATGCATACAGTAAATCTAAACATCCAGTGCAAAAGAATGGAAAAATAAGAAATGATAAACACTATAGAAACACATTAGAGCTACAAAAGACTTGAATTTCTATTCTCATGTCTCACTGCTGCAATTTCAATTCCTAATACTAAAGATACTAAAGCCTGCTTAAGAGACAGATTTTTAAATAAACCAAGAACTACTAGTGTTCCATTCACTATGGAATGGCTGATAAGAATTATTCTTTGCCATTTTCACAGGTCATGCCCACTACTATTCTCAATGTACACCAAATATTTGCAACATGTGTCAAACTCAAAGCCTGCAGGCTGGATCCTGCCCACAGGGCCGTCCGGGTCTACCCAATGCAAAGAGGAAAGTTTGGGCCAGCCTGGCTTTGTCCCAGTCTACCCAATGCGAAAAGGAAACATGCCAGCAGTTTGGGGAGTGGCATCAAGCTGGCCACGCCCACCTAGTTAGTCACACCCACCCAGTCAGCCACACTCACCCAGTCAGCAACGCCTACCCGGCACCCCAAGGTCAACCACAGCCCTGATGCAGCCCTCAATGAAATTGAGTTTGACACCCCTGCTCTATAAGGTATCCATAGTATCCATCATTTCTCTGCCATTACCCATTTTGACGAGGGCTGCTGGGAACAGGTTTATCAGCATCTGGAAGATCAACCATTGCCTATTCTTAGGTGCAGAGGTCTAAGATTCTTTTTTTCTCTCTCACAGCTGTACTGTTAATGAAAGCATGAGTGTTAACTGGGCTGTTCAGCTTTTACATGTGTTAACACCTGTTCTGTCAGTACGGTGAAACAAGTTTATGGTTGATCACAGGGCTCTCTCAGCTCAGCTGCCAAAGCAGCAACTAAGATACTTTTTCTCTCCTGTAAACAGTCAGTTTTTAGAGATCTATAGCTGATTATGGGACACACACACCCCAATGCACTAAGTGTCAAAATTCTTTACCATTACCAAGATATACTGTATATTGAGGGGTGGGGAACAACAAGATTTTGTTAATGGCAGCACACACACCACATTTATATTTATTGAATGTGCCACTAACACCATACAGGCAGTCATTCTCTCTCTTATGCTCACTGAGTAATTCCAAGAACAAGGATCGCTTGTTAAATTAAAAGTCCCCTCCCACAGATTGAACATGCTTTCTTGGCTAAAAACATTGCCTACTTTTCTTTTACTTGCTCAGACTATGCTAAACTCGCCTTCCTCCAGTATGGGCATCCTCTAGCTTAGGGTGTTTCTCAATCTTGACAACATGCTGGCTGGGAAGCCTCAGAGCTGAACTGCACTTATGTTAAAGTTGCCAAGGTTAAGAACCACTGAGCTAGATTATGGATCTCAGCTCCCAGAATTTTGAGCAACAGCCATATTGGTTAGGCATTCTGTAAATGAAGTCCACACATCTGGAGAAGATGCCCTTACTGTGGAAGGCTGATTTGGAACAGTGTGTTAAAGAAATGATTTTATATTTCATACATTATACTGTTCCTGTTTCCAGTATTAAATATTTGAATTATAATTAACAAAACATTCTCCATAGCATTTTTCCTGACTTTCATAAATATCTCTAATAAATAATCTCATGGATTACAACTGAGCTACCCATAGCAAGTTTATTATTCACCTGCCAGAATGTGGATATCATGGCAAGATCATTCTTAACCAAAAGCTGCTACAGCAAAATCAGGCCTAAGAGCAACCCTAGCTATCAACTAATTTTTTTAGTGAGATGAGGATGAAGATGAGGATGATGATATCTATTCAGTCATGTCCAACTCTTGGCAATTCTATGGACTAGGTCTCTTCACACTTTCTAATCTTGCATTACTTATTTGAGTTTTTCTATGCTTTTCAAATGGTGTCAGATTTGATGGAGTCCAGCCACCATGTTCTTTGGTGGCTTGGTTTTCTTTTAATGCCAATTCTTCCAAACATAATTGCTTTCTTCAGTGAGTTTCCCCACATGATATGGCCACAGTAACTGAGATGCACATTCATGATTTTGCCTTCTAGTGACATATCTTGTTTTTAGTGAGACTGTAGTGACATAAAACAAGTTCCCCTTATTTATCTGATAAGATTCTGAAAGAGATGAGAGATGTTTGCGCTGAATTTGTTTATTAGGCTTCAGACAGCTGCAAGCAGGGAGGAAGCCTTCAAATGGTTCCTTTCCAGCAGTCATCATGATTTTAAAAAACCCCACTAAGCCCATTCCTGTGGAATTATTCAGAGAAAAGTCCTGTACTAGCAATCTGGGAGAAGCTATTTCCTTTTTTATAACACAAATAATTTAGTGTTAACTACTGAATATCACATCTCCTTTTATAACCGCTATAAAATGCAATCAAAAGTACAGTAGAGAGGTTGGACCGCTCTATCTATAATGCGAGTCCTGGGTGACTATGCCTGTCTCTTCCTATCCTTTATCCCTCCATTTATTTCTCTTTTGTCTGCTATTGTTACCAAACATCCTGAATCAGAGACAAGAGCAGGCATTATTGGCTGCTATCCCAAAACTATAGAGATCCTTTTTATAGGAGCCAAGTGTCCACTCTATTATTATAGAGTGTGCTGTTCAACCCTTTTTATTTTGCAAAGACTTGTATTTTCTGCTCAACATGCCTTTTAAAGCAATTGCCCGATATATTGGTTATACATTCTGTTTGTTACTATGTAGGTTATATAGTTTACATTAATGCATTACCTTAACGCTATTCTCATGATTAACATTAGCCACCATTTTTATTATGCTCTCCCAACACATGCATAAAGAGAAAATACATATTCTGTACTATGCAGAAAAATAAAAAAAAAATACTCCAATACTAAGCATATATTATTCAGTGAAATGGTATGCTTTGTTTCAGCCAATGGCTGATGTAGACTAAAAAACATAAAAAGGTGTTTTTAGATTCTAAATTGGTGTCAGTAAATGGCACAGTATCTTGTCATTCATATATACATATATACATACGTACGTGTGTGTGTGTGTGTGTGTGTGTGTGTATATATATAAAATACATTGCTTGTAAAATTAAATTATTAGTTCTAATATATTTGTAATTTAATTTTATACAAGTGAAAACAAGAACATTAATCCATGAATTGATGACTGGGATACAATGAATAATGTTTTCTGGCACAAATTCTGCCCAAAATTCTTAATATTTATTTTAATTTATTTTTTAAATTTATATGCCGCCCATCTCACAAAGCAACTCTGGGCAACTATATATTGTGCTCACACAGTGGGCTGAAATAAGACTTATTATCTTGTCTTATCAACGTATCACTTATCAACTATTTGGTACCAATAGTGATATCACATCGGACCTCAAAGTATAGTCTTCAAATATAAAGGCACATATATTTAGCAATAACAATGTGAAACAATAATATAAAAAGGAAACATCTCATTCCCACATGTAACCTCATATGTACCCAAGCAAAGAAGTCCACTAAAGCAGTGGTCACCACTGGTGGTCCACGAGAAAATTTTGGTGGTCCGCAGAGAAATGTCCCCCCCAAAGCAATTAATCCATGCTGCGTGGGAACACAAGGCTTTGCCACCCACATGGCCCACCCACCCGCTGGCCCCCACCCTTCAGCTGAGCGCAAACCTTACCTTGAGTAGAGCCATTTGAACTGGAAGGGAAGACCAAAGGTGAGGGAGGGGAGTCTGCCCCGAGGTGGCTTGCTGATGTTGGTGGGAAAGTCAGTCCCATATTCTAGAGTTGCAGTAGTCACAGAACTGGCCCTTTGGTTATCCCAGAGCAGCTCTTCCAGTCCATGGAAAGCAGGTGCACCCGGGTGGAAGAGCAGCTGCTCTGGGATGACCAAAGGGCCAGTCCTGTGACTACTGCAGCTCTGGAATATGGGACCGACTTTCCCACCAATGTCAGCAAGCTCATCAATGGTGCCTATTTTGGGGGAATAGCCTTCTTGATCTTAAACTCCTGGCCCCTTTGGTGATGGCCTTCTTAAAACCAGCAAAGACTCAACTCTCTGAAGGGTGTTTGGGATGTGATCCTTCATCCCCACCATTTGTTCTTTAATCTTCATTATCATTCTCATCTGAGGTTTTTAAGAAGAAATTGGACAATCACTTATTATTAATAATGTTCTGGATTATGGTACTTTGTCTTCTGACCAAGGCTTCCTGAGATCGTAATTAAACACACGCTTAGTCCAAACAACTCTTGTTTTATTTCAATGCTGGGAATTATTTTCATTCCCAGCTCGTAATGAGTTCCAAACAGTCTCTCGAGATAAGCACCCACCTTTATCTCCTTTGAATTGCTGCCAACTAAAGTGTCAAATTAACTGTAAAAAACCAACCAAAGTACAAAGTCTGAACAGAGCTTCCGAACAGAGCGAACGACTCTGCTTCCTGCAAAGGTTTCTCTACCTTTGCACTTCTTTTATACCTTAGGGGAGGGGCAATCACCTCCAAGCCTTACTCCCCAGTCGCCTCTTTTGTCTTAGCTGCTCTTGCCTTCTAGCAGCTCTGTACACATGCCCCTGGGGACAAGCGCCCCTTGTTGCTCTGCCCGCTGCTGCCAGACTTTGGAGGCTCTGGAGTCAGCCAAAACTCCCAGATGGTTCTGGCTCTATCTCTGCATCGGACGCAGGACCCTTGCCTGAGTCCTCCCCAGACTC